CCAGAGAGAGGGGTCACTACATGCTGCCTGTCTGCATGTGATGGGGGTCACTACATGCTGCTTGTCTGTATGTGATGGGGGTCACTACATGCTGCTTGTCTGTATGTGATGGGGTCACTACATGAGGGCGCCGGGGGAAAGAGGGGGTGAAAAAAGTACATAAAATGTACCGCCTCTGCCCTTGAGCCCATAAAAGATACACCCGCGCCACTCTTCTGTTTATTGTGCAATCGGTATTTCATAGTGTTGCTCTGCCCCTGTCGTATAGGCATATGCATAGGCAAAATTGCATGGTGGGGGCGGGTAGGGGGGGTTTTCTGTGTGTGGGTGGGATGTTAGGGGTCGGGGTGGGTTGGGGTGGGGTGCCCAAGAAAATGTTTGCCCAGGGTCAAATCAGTATTAAAGACGGCCCTGACTGTGAAACATCTGTCCATTTTTTTCTTCTAGTTAGTTTGCTGGATAATTAAGCTGTGCAGCTTCACCATCTAGTAGACAGCAAAAACATAATGTTATCTCGCACAGGCCAGTAATAAATCAGTGCTGGTCTTAAAGAATTTTTTTAATGATTAGAACATTTTATATTACTTACACAGGTAAAACAAGCAACTTGGCTGTATATAATGGTATTAACCCCTTCATGACTGAGGCCTTTTTTTCTTCATTTTTTGCACACATGTTATATTCCAGATTTTAGGCTTGAAAATTACTTAAAACCCCCAAACATTATATATTTTCTGAAAGCTAAGACCCTATAGAATAAAATAGTGGCAGTTGCAAATTTTTGTGTTGCATGATATTAGCGCAACTCCTTATCAAACCCCAACATTTAGTAAAAAATGCACCTAAAATATGAGGATACAACAAGTAAATAGATACACAACATGCCCTGGTTAAAAATTGTGTGCGTCCGTGAAACGGCGACAAAATTCAGTACCCCAAAAAGTCCACAGACAGGAGGGGCAACAAAGCCTGGGAAACACGGCGGGGGTGTCGGGCAGGGGGACAGCTGAGTCGCCAGAATCGCTTTTACTGTAAAGCCGACGGTCGGCTTTACAAGTTTAAACAGAGTCGATGCCAGCGATGTACACTGTATGTCGTTGTTCGTGAAGGGGTTAAATTAGTTCTTGTTGTCAAAAATCCATCATATATCTCCAAACATGTTAATTTGACATGTAGTTTGTGCACTTTAAAATTGTTTGAAAACAGTAGAAGAAGATGCTGCAATTCCTTTACAATGTGTTTTTGTCTTTTATCAGTTATTCCATGGACTCTCAAGGTGTAGATCACCAGTGTACCTGCTGTACAGAGCTTGAGGTGGTTGAAAGAAGGGTCCAGCTCCTGTGTGCCAATGGAAAACGTAGAAACCGCTATTACAAAGATGTGGTCAGGTGTGGCTGTTCTGCTGCTATCTGCGAACCCGTCGATATTGCCGAACAGCGGCAGGAACAACAACAGCAGCAGAATCAGGAGCAGTTGACCCAATCCACTTTCAGAGGCACTTCCAGAAGGAGATGAGGTGAATGAGAAGACATATGGCAAGGCAACAATATAATGCTAAAAATTCTGAATGTGTCCCCCTCTAATTTCTAATTACTCTAATTATTCTCTTACTTTGTAGTCATATGTAGATGCCGAATGAAGAGGCAAATAAGGTCTGTGTAAGCATTAAACAAACAAAAAAATATAATGAAACTGTAAAGCAGTAACTCAACTGTTTGTTAAAACCTTTATTCAAAACTGGGCACCAATCAGAGGAAGCTTTATGTTGTTTATTGCTTTCTTATCCTTGCCATTACTTTTTTATGTATATCAATAAAATACAAAGCACATTATTTTGCTTGGACTATTCTTTTTACTAGATAGGAAGTTCACAAATTGTGGACTGGACCAAATAAACATGATATGCATGAAAAGTGATATAGGATTGTGTAGGAGGCAGGAAAAGATGGGCATACCTTGGCAATATTAGGAAGTGCTTTGGCTTTCACTGTTATAATGTCCAGCATTCTGCCATAACAGGAAGGTTTTGGGAGCTGCTTCAAATATGAATGATCCTTTTTTGCAGCTTTGTCTTTTCCTTATGACAGAGTCCATGCATAAACGTCAAAACTTGGGTTTCAATTTGCCCATAGGAATGCACCTACCACCTTTGCTGTAGTAAGCTCTTATTGCCAAATACAATAGCAACAGTATAATACTGGGTGCCACCAAAGTCTCAAATGTACACTTTATTTATAGATTTGCATTAGTTTACCCTTTTTGTTCTGGCTCCCACTGGATCGCTGTGGTTAAATTTAGCTCTGAACTGAAAGCGTGTGAATTAGGACTGTAAGAGGTCTGGCATAAAACTCCCTGCAGCTGGGACAATACACATTAACAATTTATTTCTCCTGATTGAAATACCATCTTATCTAATGACAACCCTGCTGTAACAATGTGACATGTCTCATGCCTTTAATGTCTGTGGTAGTAATAATTGGAATTAGTGTGACTAAAGGGTTGGATCTTTTCGAAAAAGACAACATTTACATACTATGACAGCATAAATTATGACCCTGTGCCTCTCATGGTATTTGGGTTTGACATATATGGAGTATTTTAGATAGCTGAGGGCTCCGGTGGCATTTTAAGAAGATTGGGCCTGCAAACACATATTGAAACATCACTGCTAAGAAGTCATGTGAAGATCCAAACTCCAAAGAAAAATCTTTAGGTTCAAATTCCCTTCAAAATATCCTATATAAAGTAGCCAACCATCTGCATTCACGTCAAGATTATCAGCATCATCAACTAGGCAAAACGATATAATTAAAAGCCAGATTATGAAATATAAAGCTAAATTAATGTTTTTTTTAATTGCCTTCTACCTGTAAATGTGAATCATGTACATTTAAAATGACTAGCAAATAAGTTGAGGCTTCCTCTGCTTTGAAAAGACATTAAGGTACCAAACGGAGCAAAATAATTGACCTGCCAAACCAAGCCCTCTAAAAAATTACTCATTTTTACAATCATTTTTGAACCCTGGGTCAGTGTGATGAAGCATTGTGCTGGTTTGAGCTCTGCTAGAACTTAAACTTAAAGAATCCAACTATTGATCACTTCTGTTGCACTTCTTTAATAACTTTTGTTGCTCTTGTACTATACTATAAGTAGTGTGATTTGTCTGTGAAGAAATATTAATGCAAAATAGGAGAAGCAAGGCATGTTTTGTCATGACTCTGTGAACCTATTTAAACTGTATATTTTTCCCCCACAGTAAGACTAGTGCCAATATTTCCTTGCAGAAAATGCAAACTTCTAAGTAAATAAAAGTGTGTTAGAGCATCTTGTTATATTGTTCCATTGAAAGAGAACTATGGGGTAAGTGTTTTTCTCCATAGTTTTCCTAAGGGTCATGGGCGGACATATACTAGCGCCCTCCCGTGACCCAAAGCTCAGTATAACGCGAGCTACAGCTCTCTGCAGGGAGATGATTGAGAAGTGAACGAGCGACGGTCTGTGTTCGCTCACTTCCTCATCTAGTGAGCCGGCATGTGACAGTTTCCTTGTTACACGCCGGCTCGGACTATGAGGATGAGTGATTTTTCACTCACCTCATAGTTCTCCTTTAACTGTTCTTACTAGTACAGGTTGTTCTACATGTTAGTGCATATTTTGGAGATATATATTTGCAGCATGTCCTTTCCACATGGGTCGTGTGATTGTGTACATCTTTTTTTTCGTTTAATACATTTTCATTGCACTTAAATTTAATATAATTTACAAAGTGCATTTTTATATGAATAAAAAAAAAGAAAACCCAAGAATATATCATATATGTATCACTCAGATACAATTCTTGCCAAATCTACCACCACTTTTTCTTATCATTCAATCCTATCTTTCGAATCTTCCTCCGGAGGGCTGGGAGGAGGTCTACGTTTATACACCTCTTATGTTATGTCTCCCCCTAATCTAAACTCTGTGTCTATATATCCCCATCCACCTCCCCACCTCCTCTCTTAAAACTCTAGCTGCGACCAGTACGAATCTTAGGATATTGCTTTTTATCTTTTTTAGAGATCCAGGTATCAATGATAATATAGCCATTATGGGATCTTTTTCAACATTTTGTGACTCTATGGAATTATATATTTCGAATACAGACTCCCAGAACGGCTGCAATCTAGGACAACTCCACCAAATATGCAAGTACGTCCCCTCCTCTAGGGTACATCTCCAACATCTATAGGATAAATCTGAGTCTACGGGGGTGATTTACTAATCTAAACACACGCACGCACTAGGTGCGTGTGATTTTTACACAGCAAAACGTATTTATCAACAAAAAGTCTCTAAAAGCATATTTCCACTAATGCCATATATGGAAAAATCATGCACATGATGCATATATAATGCTGCTTCACAGTTTAGACAAAAATGGTTAGCTCATGCATTTATATTCCTGCATTCATCAACGCAAGCAACACAATGTAGAGCTAATTTACACAGCATCACCTTGCAATTCATGCAGGGCTTTGCACAACACACCTGCTGGGAGGGAACACACTACAGAGGTTATACTTGTTCGTGGCGTGTTTATAAGGTTAGTAAATCAACCCTTATATGTTTAATACCTTCTTGGCACCTGTACCATCTAGATATTATTTTATATATTTTTTCTTGGTGCAATGAAGATATAACAGAGCTATGTGTCATATTAAATATTCTTTCCCACTCTTTATCCGATATCTCTCTCCACATATCTTGTTATGATGACAAGATATGTGATTGTGTACATCTAAACACACTAGTAGTCCTGGCACAGGGGAGGGCTGAGAATCTTTGGCCTAGGGGGCAGCTCTTTCATAGTAGGAGAAGATTTCTCTGGGCAAAAAAAAGTGTACCACTGTCAGGGATGGGGTAGAGTCCCCCTGTTTGCTGGAGTTGGACCGAATAGCAGGGAACAATATCAGAAGGAGAGTCCAGGCTACAGTACAAAATAGTAGAATCTAAGAATGCCTCGTCAGAGTATAGTCCAGGTCAAGGCAGGCAGTAAGTATCATAAATGGGAAGTCAAGCCAGGGGTCGATAACCAGGAGAACCAAATCATGGGGAAAGAAAGGCAGGAAACAGGGAAACAGGAGATAACGCTTTGTAGCTGCTTTGGGTATGGCAGAATATCTCAGCAACAAGTCTTGGCTCTGGCTGCAATTTAAACCCAGCAGGAACAATACACGTCCCTGTTGTTAGGGCAACAAGGAAGCTACAGACCCATGGGAGCAAATGGAATGGTGAGGAGAAGAAGGTGTGCATGCAAGGCCCTCCCCGTTGATGATCAGCACCTGAGGTGACTAATAGGCCACGGCAATGTCACGTGCGTACGTACATACGTGTGCATGCGCACACCCACAACCAGCCACCGTTGGGCACCGAATCGGGAAGGACTCTACAATCCCCACCTTGCCTGCTGGCACCAATGGTAAGAGGGTACCCCTGCTCCCACGACAACCAAATAGTGTTCTATGGGACAGGATTGACTGGTGTGTATGGAAAAAGGTTGGTGTTCCTGAAGGAAATGGATTATTGACACACCTTTTCACATCCTCACGCATCAGCATTCTTTGTGGCTCTCAGCATTCTGCCACATAATATCTCAGAGTCACAAAGGAAGTTGGTATAAGGCCCTGCATGTGTCACAGGCTGTGGATCATGTTTCTGATCATGGTCTGAATGTTGAACTATTTCCACTTGAGTCCAACAGCCCAACGTGTCTTATTTCTACTGGCGCCAGGTGCAAATGCTTCCCTGCTTTGCAGCCCACTTCATACCCTGCCGGCCAGGGTATGAAGTAAGTAAATACATTTTCTACAGTTCAAGGCAAAGTTATCCATGCACAACACCAATGTCAACCTATGGAGAGGGTAGTGTCAGATAAACTAGCAAATTTAGATGGACTTGACTAACAATCTACTCCAGATCACACTTAAAAATCACACTTGATCTAGTCTCTGTCATTGTTAAACTTTTGCTTGACAGCTTGGCCTGTTAAAGGAAGCTGAAAAATAAAAGAGTTACTTGCTGGATCACCAAGTAAAAATAAAGTAAAACAGCTTAAAAAAAGAAAACAAATGCAGCCACTACATCCAAGAAATGGTAAGTTGCAATATATAATTTTGGGGGTTTTGGGTTTAAATTACGCTTTAAAGAAATAATTTTATTCAGTCAATCATCTCTTTCAATCCTAATACAGGCTCAAACAGCTTATGGTGGAAATTTAGGTCGATTATGATCACACAGCTGCCCAGGAGCTGCTGCATCAGCAGTATATCTGAGGGGAGGCTATTAACCTCCCTGGCGGTATTCCCGAGTCTGGCTCGGGGTTAACTTTCAGTACCAGGAGCGGTAACCCCGAGCCAGACTCGGGAATGCACAGAAAAGTGACACTTACCTTGTCCCTGCGAGCCCGCGGTGTCCTCTGATGTACGCGGCCGGCCGATGCCAGCATCTGAGTTTTACTTTCGTTTTCGGGCGTCACAGAAGGGGTCTGAGTCGGCGGGAAATTCAAAAGTGAAAAATGACATTTACACAGAATACACAGAATACAATGCAATCTTCTATAATTACACTTATGTATCAAACTATTTCACTTCAATTTTGTCCCTAGAGCTTTGTCCAGTGCCCTGCCTGCACTTTTGCTGTTCTTTCTGCCTGGAAACTTGTAAACGTCCATGGCATCCAAAAAGCGTCCCTTTAGGTCAAAAGCGGTTTTAGACCAGGTAGAAAACAGCGATAGTAAATTAGAATCACTTGCAGAATTGAGCGATAGCGATTCGTTGGGAAATTAATCATCAGACACTGAAATTCATCATCAGACACTGATGACGAATTTCCCAACGAATTGCTATTTTCTACCTGGTCTAAAACCGCTTTTGACCTAACACAGTGACAATTCTGCGACCGAGCTCAGTGATGTGTGAACTTGGTACTTTATTGACTGTGGTACGGATCAGGCAGCGCCCCCAGAATTCCCATTTACTGGACCATTTTTTTAATTATTATATTATATTTTTTTATAATTATTTATTATATTATAATTTTTTAATTTCGTGTTTCAAACTTTCTCATACCCGGGATGTCTACTGGACTATTGTTTGGGCAGATTTAGGTGAGTTATTCCTAAGAATTACAGGCCTACAATATAAAACATCAAAACATCAAATTCCCATGAAAAACAATGTACTGCTTTGGGATGCTAAAATGGAGATTCATGGGATACTTCCTGTATGATTCTAAAAGAACTTTATAGCAAATTGTTACTTCAACTGAGCATACAGTAGCTCAAAAATATGACTGGAGAGAAAAGAGTGTATGTATCATGGTATAGCTTTGCTAACTATGTTGTGCAAACTATCAACTGTACCAGGGTATGTTGACCTTGAAGATAAAACTTGATAAAAAATCAGAGAGGAATAATATTTGAGGTTGGGCATTTGTCAGCATGGCCATATGTGTTCCAATTTTGAACTCAATTCAGCAAAACAAATACATTTTAATTAAAAACCTGACAGTCAGTGAAAATAGGGGCCTTCATAACTTTTTTTTTCTCAGTTGGAGAAAATTATTCATTGTATTCCCTGGCAGTCAGGCACGTTAGAGGATGCTGCTAAAGTAGGGCCATAGTTAGATATCACGCTGTTCAAGGCACACTTGAATTATGTACTAACTCTCCCTTTTGATCTCATGTGCTCTTGTAGAAAATATAGCATTTGCTTTAAATTAACAACTCATTATTAAATGTCAAGGCCATTAAGAAAAAGTAGAGATTATTTCATGTTTCTTGACCTAGCGAAAGTCTTCTGACTCCTCTCAAAAGCCTCTGTAACCCCTTTTCCTTAGAGTTATCTTGATGACTTTAGCTACACCAGTCTACAAGTACACAGAATAGGAGGAAAAAAAAAGTTATTAAAACTTGTAACTGTTGAGATTTGGTGCAGTCTTTTCTAACCCCTCTTACTTATGGTCTGACCTACAAGAAGTATTATGGTAAATACAACCAAGAGTAAAGCCTTACCTTAAAAATGGCATTCATCTACACATGCATAGCGTGGCTGGGAGACTGTTAGGGCTTGTTCACACCACGTGCAAACCCAGTCCAGAACAGAACAATTTTTGTCCGCATCTGAAATGCATCACAATGTTTTCCTATGGTATTTCTGGGCTGTGTTTACATCAGTGCAGTCCGTTCCAGTGCAGGGAAAAAAATGCTGCATGCACAATATGTTTTGGTCTGGAATGCACCAACATGCATGTAAACACATAAAAAACACATGCAGACACACTGGAATGCACTGGACTGCACCTAAAAGCCCATTTTAGGCTAACAAAACCACCAGAACATGCCAAAAACACATTAAAAACGCGTCAAAAATGTACTCCAGATCTGGTCCGGACATGGTGTGAACCAAACCTAGGTGAGGAGGCTGTGCAAGCCCCAGTGGGCACCACTATTAAGTTCAATGAGGTGCAGGACACAGGTAAGTATAGGATTAGTTGGATACTGGGAAGGGGGAAAAATTATTTAAAGGATAACTAATAAAAGTTTAACGTTTTTCAATCAAATTTTTTCGGCTCTGTATCATTAGGGAGATTTGTCTCTGGATTTGTCCCCCCGGCATGGACAGAGTTAGCACTAAATATCTGACAGGGGCTCTAAACATTCTAGCCAAAAATATGGTTTGGCTGCAGATACACTTTAAGACAAACCAAAAGCACAAAATGCAAGATTACAGAGTTGTTCCAGTTGCTCCAGTACAGAGATGGTTCTGCATAGGTCATTGGAAAATGTGTCACATTTTGTGTGTAGAGGGTGATTGCTAATGGAAACTAACTATAAGATTTGTCTTGGATGGATTCCAGCCATATAGTTATTAGTGGGAAACTGAAAAACAATCCATCACTACATGTCTCTGAAAAGTTCTGTGGCTGCAAGAGTCATCTTTATAGTTAGATCAAACAAAAACTAGCTCAACTGTTCAGCAAACATTTCATGAATTAGACAGACAATCATACTATGGAAAACTAATGGCATATATTTGAAAAAAAAATATTTACTTGCATTTCAAATAAACTAAATTTAAGGTAGAATGACACATTAAATTATAATTTAAACAAATAAATTAATGAAATAATTTTTACATATAGCTTTTAAAGCCCAACTGCAGCTATAGCTTTTAGCAGACAGAAATAATTAACTTAAACACAGATTTGATCATTTTCCAGAACAAAATGACTGGAGTTTGGCTTTAAGCATATAGAGTGTACTAAGCAAACTGATTTATTAATTGTAAAATATGCAAACTGAACATAATGCTTATTGTATGTGCTGTGCAAATGGAACACATTTGGCTTTACAGTTTAACTGAATCCGTTTAACTGAATTCACTGAGCAAAAGTGGATCAAGTTGGGTCTACACCCTTTCGGAAAGCATCACACTACTCTAACCCAATCTGGCGAATAATATTAACTATTTGGTGTATCTTTCAAAGTTCAGTGCTAGCCAGACTGCACCAAATAACTGAAATAAATGAGGTTGACAACCAAAATGAAAAAAACTGACCTGTTGACAAGCATGTAAGTGGAGATTTAACATGCTACATCTATAACTAGTTTGCAGCCACATGCTTAGTCATCATGGTTGATATTTGGGTAAATAGAGTGTTAAAGTATATCAAAACGCTGCCAGGATTATTCACAAAGATTAAAGAGTTTGGAGAAGGCAGGGGAAGTGAACAATCTAGGACAACATAGCTGAACTGGAAAATGAGCTGAATTGGAGTTTTTTTTTTTAAATCAGCCTAGATTGTTCACTTCTCCTGCCTTCTCCAAACTCTTCACCCTTTAGTGAATAACCTTGTGAGTGTTAAAGCATATCTAGAAGAATGCTCACCAAAATGAGGTACATTTTTTCTCAGACAGTGGTCACTGCAACAAGTGTCCCCATTAGAAGATTTCCTTCCTGTTGCAGTAACAACTTGAAATTTCTCATTTTCAATCCCGGTCACAATGGTCAGCAGGACAAACAGTTGGGATCAGTCTCCCAAATGGGAAAACAAACAGCAATTACAATGCTGAATATTTTATAACCATTTCCTACTCTATCTAAAATAAATTAAAACATGTTTAGACTTAGATACACTTTAAAGCAGAAATGTACCAAATTTGTACTTTAGCAGCAGTTTGGAGAGCTTCAGATAATTCTACATAAAATATAGATTTATGAGTCAACAATCTGTATTGTAAAGTCCATTGCATTGCAGAGTCCTGAGTTCATTGCAGTGTAGAGTCCTGAGAGGATTGCGGTGCAGAGTCCTGAGTTTATTGTGTTGCAGCGTCCAGAGTTTATTGTGTTGCAGAGTACTGAGTTTATTGCAGTGCAGAGTCCTGGGTGCATTGTGGTGCAGAGTCCTAAGTTTATTGTGTTGCAGAGTCCTGAGTTTATTGTGTTGCAAAGTCCTGAGTCTACGGTGTTTGAACTGTATATACAGTATATCTATATTCTCACATACATATGTTGTTTATACTTTTTAGTTTTGAAGGTAGGGGATGTAGGTGGATACGGGGGTCTGAGTCAGGAAGTGGGGGGAGGGCATGTGATGGAGGAGGGTAAGTTGTGGGGGGCCATTAGAAAAATCTTGCCAACACAAAGAAGAACATGTGTACATATACATGATTTAAAAAAAAATTGAATAAAAAGGAAAAAAACACATCAGGTTTGTAGCATTGTAGATCTCCCAGTCAGGCATTTAGTAATAATGAAACCAATGCCAACATCATGGTACAACATTGCTGTTCTTTAAAAACAATGTCGGTAACTGGGAGTAAATGAGACCCGAGTCATAAAACATTTGTTCAACTGTTAATGACTTATACAGTTATCCATGCCCTGTTTATAGGTTAGATGACCTTTTATATAATACACAGGTGTGAGCTAAACAAAACTTAATTTTAAGCCTGTACAAATGGGTGTGAACTGGCTGTTTAAAATGTATTTTTTAATTAAAAAAACATTTTACATCTACTAACTATACTCATTTCACAGCCTCCTGCATACAGACCTGGTTCAATTACCACCATAGTTTATTTGACTGGGTTCATGCCTTTCATTTCTACTTTAAAACAAGAAGTTGGATTTTTTTACTCAAGGTAAGCTAAACATAGCCTTCCCATGTGTTATGCTTGTCTTACACTATGTCAATGAACCATTGTCACCTTGGAAACATTTCTTGTGAAAGTTAATTTTATCAATCTGTTACAGAGCAAACATCCTGGGTCAAACGTCTCCATGCTCAAAGAGGCTGAGAAAGAGGCTAATTAAGGTTGGTCCACATTAATACCCACCCATGATACATTCACGTCTTCTCTGATGTAATGGTGACTCAGGTCACAGGGTTTCTTTGCTATAAAAAGGCTTAGTTGAGAGGGAGAAGATCTGCACCACCTCTGAATGAACATAAGTTCAGTACCTAGTGACTGAACTTAACAAAAATGGGGACATGGAGGGGTGTGAGTTTAGCAATATGCTTCTTTGTAGTATCACTCATCACTATATCGGTGGAAGGTGAGTACTGGGTAGGGATGAGCGGAATGATAAAAACTGATTTCAATGAAGTGGACAAATCCCATTAAGATGCTTAAGTGAAATATGCTTCATGAAACAAAATCTATTTTTTTAAGCGTATTTAGGGTAGTTTATTTTACCTCATTTAGTGTATGTTGCATTTGTGTTTTTTTCTTTCTACCAGTTAATTGATCATAGTTTGTGTACTGCCATTTTAAATAGTTTATTGTACTTTTTTCAATGTTGATTTCTTCTTTAGAAACAACACAATACATAAGAAGCTTCTGTAACATTCAGCAATTTCCAGCCTAGTGCACCCTTAACAAACCACCAAAAACATTTAAAAGTTGTATTTCCGCTACAATACATTTACCAAAATGGCGATATGTTGACAAAATCTCCAGGTTTCATCCAAAATTTCTAGATGAATATATGGACAGATAGAAAAATAAATAGATACTCAGATTTTTTTCTGAATAAAACTTTTAATACAATAGTTACAGTGTGTTCACGGCTGTTTACTGATGGTTGACATGGTTCTATGAATCCCCATATTAACAATTTATAATACAAACCTGTACAAAAATGGTTTTCAAAGTTGGAAAGACAAAGGGGTCAAACGGGCAAACATGCCTTCATGAAAACTTATTAGAGCAATGCTAGAAACTTTGTAAACATTAAGATAAAAGGGTACGTGATTCATTGCACTTGTAAATAAATAAAAATGTTGTGTATAGAATACTGTATGAATAATATTTCTCGGAACAATAGTTAGCGAATGTAGTATAGAATATAATGTTTTTTGGACTAGAAAGATTCAATCTAGACTATTAATATAATGGGTAGTTCACTTCTAATGTCACATAACATGCCCGAATTTCACTACTGTTCAAAACAGTTAAATAACATGGATACAAATTAATATATTGATAGAAAAAAACTCAACTGTCCGGTGACTCTGTTGCATTATATATTGAACTACTTTTGAGCCTTTCATAGTGCTATTTATTTAGCTAGCTTTGCATGAATACATAGCAAACCAGCTTACTATTTGCAAATTTCCAATCCTAAATAATGTTTCATCTTTTGTCTTATTTTGCTAGAATACTAATCATTCTTCTCTGCTTCTTGAATAGGTCAAATGTCATTGGTTTATTCAGTGCAGCAGACAACTGGTAAGAATCAGCTTCTTTAACATGGAATGCAGTAGTAATTTAAGGGCAAGAACTATTATGAAAAATAAAGTGTAAATTGTCATAAAGAAACTAAAGGGAAGTGTTTGATTTTATTGACATGGTAAATGGCAAATAATTAAGTGGACATGATTCTTGTGGATTTTGAGATATTTTCAGGCTATATTTAGCTCTTGTGAAAGATAACACAAAGTTCGGCACACATCATTAGAAAACTGTACAGTTTAGCATTAAATGTAAGTTGTAATGGGAATCATAATAAAATACTAGAATTACTAGAATTAATAATTAACATGTTATACACAAAACAAAATACATTGCCAAATTGCTCAATGTTCTTTTACCATGGTGTGCAATTTACAAAATAAAAATGAATCTGGGAACAACCCACATTCCTGCTAATTAAATAACAGTATCTGCAGACATATAGAGATAATGACTTTAAGTACATAAACTTACTTGGCTCGAATTGCAGCTTTCTTTGATAACATATATGCGGGTCTTACAGCTTTTGATCAGGTCTAATATTTACTTTACAAGTGAAATGTCCTTGATTAAACAGAACATTATTCTATTTGTTTACAGAAAGCTTAAATTCAAGAAGATTGTGTTGGCTGTAACTATCATTTATCCTAATGTAAACATATTCAAAAGACCTACTCCTAAAATAACAAGCCTTGTTTCATTACTAAGAAGTCCCTTGTAGATTCTTACTTGCATATATATAGATTAAGTATTGGGGAAAAGTTCTTGGAAAATGTAATTTTGGACTTACATAGGTTGGCCTTAAAATACTCTTCAATTACTAATTAGGATCTATATACCTGAAATAAATTAGATTTTTTAACTTAACATTTTAATTTTTAACCATCATGATTACAACAGATCGCAATGGCCTTTTGGACAGGAAAAATGTTATCCAAATGAGGAATGAGAATTTTTTGGCTGTCAACATTTATAAGACTATATTATTCTTTTTTTCCTTTCAACAACAAATAACTCTGTTTCAAAATTGCAACACCATAATTTCTAGCTGTATATTCTATACCACATGAAGATAACCAGTAAGAAATATAGATGCCTTGATTAATTTAGGTTTCTAACAACTGTTTCTACAGAAGTTCCTGCATTGATGACTTTCATTGGCACTCAAGCTCCAGTTATGAGAAGTAAGTTCATATAGGACAGTAAATAATTGTTACATATATAACAGTTAATATTTATTAGGGATGTTAAATAAGCAATGTTAAATATCCAAGTAACCATAGGCTTTTTTAGAAATGTGTAAATGCTTTTTCGATGTCAGTCAGAAAGTATTGGTTGGTTATAGGCCTTTAAATATGACTAGTTATGGTGTGTATTTAGATAAGGAGCTATGAAGCTGGTAGGTCACTACCCAACATATTTACCAGCCTCATTTTATATATATATATATATATATACAGGGATGGATGTGGCTAAATCTTTTATATATATATATATATACACACACACACCCTGTTTCCCCGAAAATAAGACCTACCCTGAAAATAAGACCTAGTACTATTTTTGGGAATTGCTAAAATATAAGACCTACCCCAAAAATAAGATCTAGTTGTGACCATTCCCAGGGCCAGTGGTGGCATAAGGGGGAACTTGAAGAGCCGCAGGAGAGAATCAGCAGTGCCAATGAAGCCAGCGCTAGAGGAAGCGAGGCGGCACCGGAGGGAGCAGAGCCGCATAAGCCGATGCCTCCTCTATAGCGCAAGCTCCTGTCACAGGTGGAGTGATACCAAATGCACTCCGCCTGTGAGGAATTGATAGTGAAAGTGCTCTTCGCTCATTCTGGCCAGCGATTGGTTATCAAATTGCTCTTGGAAAGGTACGGCACCCCTTGTTGCCCTGATCATCATATTTTTGTACATGAAAACATGAAGACTTTTCTACATGAATAAGTGCGGATTGTTGTACATAAAAGAATAAATAAAAAAATAAGGCCTACCCCGAAAATAGGAACACATATGCTTTGTGGAACATGGGCCAGTAAAAGAAGATTTGAATAATTTAAAGAAATAGTGACCTTTGTAAGCAATCTTGGAAGTATTATATTTAACCTCCCTGGTGGTATTCTTGAGTGTGGCAAGGGGTTAATTTTCAGTACCAAAAGCGGTAACCCCGATTGCGTAAAATTGTCTCTTACCTTGTTCCTGCGAGCCCGCGGTGTCCTCTGCTGTGTGCGTCTGGCCGATGCCGGTATTTGGCTTTCAGTTTAGTTTTCGAGCGTCACAGCGGGGGGCGGAGCCGGTGGGAAATTCAAAAGTGCAAACATGACATTTACACAGAATATACACAATACAATGTAATCTGCTATAATTACATATATTTATCAAACTATTTCACTTCAATTTTGTCCCTAGAGCTTTGTCCAGTGCCCTGCCTGCACTTTTACTGTACTCTATTGACTGTGGTACGGATCAGGCAGCGCCCCCAGAATTGACAGTTACTGGACCATTTTTTAAATTATTATATTATAATTTTTTATAATTAATTATTATATTATAATTTCTTATAATTATTTAGAATTATGTATTATATTATAATTTATGATTTTGTGTTGTAAACTTTATCATACCCGGGATGTCTACTGGTCTCTTGTTTGGACAGATTTAGTGAGTTATTCCTAAGATTTACTAAGAATTACAGGCCTACAATATAAAACAACAAATTGCCATGAAAAACAATGTACCGCTTTGGCATGCTAAAAATCCTGCATAATCATACCACCAGGGAGGTTACCTCAATTCCTACAATTGTCACTTTTACTGGGCAGCTTTGTCTGCATGTAAATGTGGAGTATAATATAAATTAAAGTATATGAAGTATGAAAATATATTAATACTGAATACTATCACCACATTCAGTAACTGCACAAATCTACTACAATACAATACTTGCTGTGATAGCGGTTCTTTAATTCCTTACAGTAAACAAATATTCATTGGGTACCAAGTAGCTTTTATTTATTAATAACCACCAAGACTGTACAATACTTCTTTAAGAGGAGCTGGACTAGGGACTCAAGGGAATGTGATAGGAATAATTGCATTGCTCTTTAATGTCACTGAGCAATTGAACACATTGATGATGATGATTAAATATACTGTATGCAGTAATTAAGATTTTCTTTCACGGACCACTGTGCCTCCTGCAGTACTACTGGCTGCTGGTGGTCCTAATAAATTCCAAGCCAGTACATTCTGTAATGCAAAGCCTTGATTCACAAAACCTGGAGAACAGGAAAATAGACAAAAGTACACAAAAGCAACAAATAAGCCTATAAATTGAAAATTTTGATTTGCTGCTATGGACAATTGCTCCACTTTTGTTGTGATTTTCTTTTTACAATGAAAATTGACAAATTACTTTATTATTACAAAGAGTTGGTCTCAGACACTTGTTTTTCATTGGCAGGTACTGGGTCTGCTCACAATGGACAAGTCTGCAGCTCCTGGGGAAATAATTACTTCAAGTCCTTTGATGGGGATGTCTTTTATTTCCCTGGTACATGCAACTACCTATATGCTTCAAACTGCAAAAGTAGCTTTGAGGATTTCAACATCCAGATCAGGCGTTCTGTTGTCAATAATCTTCCAACTATTAGCCATATCACTATCAAGATTGATGGCCTTTACATTGAACTGCAGAGCGGGAGCGTGGCATTTAACAGTCAGCCGTAAGTAATTCAACATTTTGTTATAGTCACTAAGCATCATATGCAATTTGTACTAGAGGTTTCTTAGAATCCTATATTAAGATAGCATAGCAAGCAAGCCTGAAATATAACCAATGCATTCTGTTAAATCGCGTGTTGTTCCCTTCTATAGTTTCCAACTCTGACCCTGTTTAACTGGGAGTTTTGTCTGTTCCAGCACATCTTTGCATGTGCCTTCCTGTTGTATTCTCTAAAATATAAAAAATCCAACAGGAAAAGTGGGTCTTCCTCAAATGGCTACAGCAAGTGTGCAAACCTAAGAGCTCCAAGCATAGGAATCAGAATACAGTTCTAGAGAGATATACGAATATGTTGGGTGGTTTAACTTTCAAAGATTTACAAAAAGGGATCAGTTTTAAGTAGAATGATCCTTTAAAATTGACTTATACTATGATTCTTCCATTGGAAGAACCAGTGAAGGATTGACCTGTGAAGAACCCCTTTCAATAGTGGTTTCTTCAGAGTCTAGACTGATGTTCCCATGGCAGATGTGCCTCAATTCTGGGGCTGAAAAATGCATTGTACAATTCTTTGCAATGATCTCTAATACACTATCTTAGATAATAAGATCTCTTCTAACACACATTTTGTCCTCATCAGAAATATCTAGTTTGTGAACAGCATATCTTTGCCAAAAATTAACTAACAGAATTCACAATGATTTGATTCATTCTACTGTGTTTATTAGAATTTATATAGCAAAGTTGTAGAGCCTATCTCTGATAAACCAAGATGTCCTTTCCGTATATCTTTTATAGAGTGGAGCTTCCCTACAGCTCCTCCGGAGTCCAGGTTGGCCGGAGTGGTCTATATATTAAAATAGCTGCAAGGCTGGGCTTACAGTTCATGTGGAATGAAGATGATGCTATTCTGGTAATCAGAATTATTAAATGTATTAATGCTGCACAGAAGTATATGACTGAGAGAATGGATCCTAATCTGTGAAAGTGTTCACCTGAAATATGATTTTATACTTTAAAGAGAAAAACATATAGGCTACATTTTGCTTCCTGTGCTGAATATGCTAGTTCCCTGACTTATATGCAGATGTTTTAACTTCAATAATCTGTGTCACTGGTGCAGAACAAGTATAAGATTAAAGCCACAGCCAGTTAATCAGAAGTTTCAGGAATGAGGTCAGTAATGGCAGCATCCGCTTTTCTATGCTAAATGGTGTACTTTAACATTACATTTTTCCTATTGCTTCTTGAAACATTTGCTTTCAATATTCATTACATATTTTCCCTCATGTTAAATGGCCCTTCTTTGTATTTTTCAGCATATTAGTACACAGGATGGTAAGCAAAGCATATTGTGGATAATGGCCATTTCCTTTTTTGCCTATGAAGAAAACTTGGCTACAGCTAGAGAGCAAATACACAAAGAGCCTTATTATTGAACAATTCTCAAATAGGACATTTTCTAGCAGCTAAACAGATACAAGCTTTGTTTTTATTTGTCATTTCCAGTGTTGGTTTGCATTTTATATCTACAGCTGTTGTTATGTAATCTCTCACATAGTGATAAAGAATCAATACCTTAGCTGTGAGCAAATTTAAATTGTTAGAATACTGAGTAATGTCTGATTTAGGTGTTAAACTGACAATGGTTGGTTTTAAGGCTGCGGATAATAATAACTCTTGACTCTATAGTGGGCAATTTATCTTGTTTCTTGTTACAACTTTCTTCAGCTAACAATAGTACCAATATGATAGTGTTGGCACTTTTGTATTGTTGGAAAAAAAAATAGTATACATTGGAATTCCCCTATTTAGTAGTTTGCATTTGATCATATTTGATAAAATAAACACTTGATGACTGGTATTATAGTTAGAACATGATACTAATCCCATCTACCTAAAATATAAAAAAATATTCTAGACCTTGGTCATATCTGCTATTTATTGAAGTGACACTAAACTCAGGAGTGAAATCTTAAAAATGCATTCAAAGTACCCTATTAACAAAAATGTATCTTATTTGTGTATCATTCATCTGTAGATCCTCAAATCATCTCTGAATTCATGTTGACACTGTCCTTCCTTCTGGAGGGTCCCTGTGTGTGTTGTAAAGTAGCCACCGCTCCAAGCTCGCTCCGGTGATAGACTCCAAACTCATGTTTAGTTTCATCATTGATATTGAGGTTGTAGTCCATTACTGAGTGAGCTTGGAGCGGACAGTGTCAGCACCAATTCAGAGATGATTTGAGGATCTACAGCTGAGCTATACACAAAAAAGGTCCATTTAATAGTTAATAATTAGGGTACTTGGATGCATTTTGTAAGATTTCACTCCTGAGTTTAGTGTCACTTTAAAGGAACTTGTCATATACAAAATAAACTTTATTCAGGAACAGTAGTCACCACTAATGTGTACATTTGTAGTTTCATTCCCAGGGAGCTTGGAGGACTGTTTCTCAATGTATTTACAGGCCCTTATGATGGCTTCTGTACCTGGGTTATATCCATTTATAATGGGTTCCATAATAGGAACGTACCTTTAATCCAGGACTCAGATAAAGAGAGAGATTAATATAGACTCATTTGCCTTTTTATCTTACAGCTGGAGTTGGATCCAAAGTTTGCCAATCAGACCTGCGGTCTCTGTGGAGACTTCAATGGCATTCCGATTTACAATGAGTTTATTACAAACAGTAAGCTTTCACTTAATTCCTACATTTTAAAACGTGGTGTTATCTAACTATTGAGTCATAGCTAAGTAATGTTTTGCAGATGTTCAGCTCTCCAGTATTCAGTATGGAAATATGCAGAAGATGAATGGACCACGAGAATCCTGTGATGATTTGACAGTGAATCCACTGAACAACTGCACTGACACTGTAAGTTATGCTACAACTATACAGAATATTGAACAGGTAGAACTGAAAAAGCACATGTTCCAATTACACCTAGAGTACTTACCTGGGTTAGTATTTATAAACCAAGACATAGAGAACTGTTTGAGGACTGAAGCTGCTATTTACATTGCCCTACCCTAAGGTCATTAACACTTGCGGTGACCTAATCCGCATGGCCTAATCATTCATGCTAACCCTCCCTGACTAATTTTAACCTTTGCACTAACTCTCCCTTTAACCCTAACCCTAACATTAACTCAGCACTGTTTTAGATGATCGTACACTTCTGATATAAGACTGTAGGCAAAAGGCATAGGAAATGCACTGAATTTTTTTTAGGAGGAATTCAGGACAAAGTAAATGTCTCAGGGCATTGCTTAGACACAATTAACATTTCTAGATGTTTGCTATAAGATAGCAAATCAGAGCTTTTTGAGTTCAAGTCCACTTTAAGCAACTTAACCACTTATTTACATTCTCACCTCAACTCTGTGCCAGATTCAGCTGGACAAAAGACTAATCTGCTTGCATCAGCATTTACGGCTTCCAAAGTACCAGGGATGGAGTCTTTAGTGATAAAGAAAAAAAATGATCATCGATTTTACTAATGATTATTGACATTTTTAAGTGCTTACTTACTACTGCTAAAGCTATGTTTATAATAACAGATTTGCTTTCTAGAATGGCTTTGCTAGAAAAGATGAACATATAAAATGCATTATTGTGCAATATAGAGACAGTTATTCTCATTGTTCTACAGTGAGACATTTGGAAGCATGGAGGTTGGTCAAGCTGATAAGTGGTTTTGAAACAGCAGAAATTAATGTATTTTGCAATAAATAATGTGCTGCTTGTAAAAAAAAAACCTCTTAAGTGAATGAAAAACAGTACATGTTTCCGTATGTGTGCCCCTATCATACCTCTCTGATTCTCAACAGCGGATGATATGTGAAGTGGTGCTCATGGGCACAGCATTCTCACAATGTAACACCCTGGTGGACCCAGCTCAGTACATTGATGCATGCGTCCAGGATCTGTGTAGATGTGGAAAAGATGCCATTGGCTTTTGTTTGTGTAACACCTTTACAGAGTACTCCCGGCAGTGTGCCCATGCTGGTGGAAGCCCACAGAACTGGAGAACTGATCAACTTTGTCGTAAGTGCTATAAATTCTAGTGCCAGGGAAATTAGAAATATACAAAAATCTAAATATCACTGATCATTATTGCTTACAATAAAATCAGTAATAACTCCTGAGGGTAACTATCTTTTCCATTACAGCCTTGAAATGTACTATGAACTTGGAGTACAGGGAATGTGGAAGTCCATGCCCCAACACATGTACCAACCCAGATAGGTCATTAGTCTGTGATAACCACTGCATTGATGGATGCTTTTGCCCTGCAGGTAATCATACAACACATATCGGGTGGAACTCATAAAAACTTGAGCAGACAACATCTGGATCAAAATGTGGAGCAGTTGCCATGGCAACTAATCATCTTCCCTTTTTCATTTTCAAATCTTAACTGAACAAACTAAAAAGAGAAACGGATTGGTTATAATGTCTATTGTGGTCTATGGTGTATTATATAACACAATAGAACTAAAATGCAATACATTGAGGGAGATTAAATAAAGCATTGTCAATGCTTTTCTGGCAATATGGCCATAGCTGAACAATGTTCTTGCTGTGTCCTATACATGCAAAAATGTAGGCAGTTTTTATGTACATTCTGCCACTATGGCTGCAACAAAATAAGATTCATATGCACCTTACTCACAGTTACATGAATCTGACGCATGTTGCACCATTTGTTGCACGAACGGGAGACAAATTTCTAATAATTGTTTACGAAAAGTCTTTATGAATTCTAGGACATACAATACAATGCAATATAACTAACAAATAATTGAGAATATTATACAAAATACATAATAATAATAATCTTAATATAGATAATCTTATCAATGTGTGAAACTCTGTTTTTATTTGTAGTTTTGAATTATATATGTAAATAGGGACAAGCCATAATGCTTACATACATTTTTTCAGTGCAACTCTGGTTCAGTGCTGGTGGCTATGATTTATTGCTTCTTCTTTGTCAAAGTGTTGATTTACTAAAGTACCAGTGAAGGTTCACTTTGCCCCCGTGATGGACTACAATCTCAATACAAATTAGTAACCTAAATGTGAGATTGCCCATCAAAGGAGTGAGGTTGCAGCAGTGGCTACTGTAAAACACACACAGGGACCATGGGGAACAAAAGTAGCCACCCTCCAGAAGGAAGGACAGTGTCAGCATGAATCCAGAGATGATTTGAGGATCTAAAGCCAAGTGAAACACAAAAAGGCTAAATTTTTGTTAAAAGTTAGGGTACATGAATACATTCCTAAAGTTTAACTCATGAGTTTAGAGTCTACTTAGATTAAGTATAAGGAACATTTTATCCTCCCTGTGATAGACAAACATGACCTACTGGTTTGTTGACTCCTAAACCATGGTTAGCCATCCCATGGTTTATCTCCCACCCAGCTATAATGTAACTATGAGATTCAGCACAATACTAAAAAAAAAAAATTCCTTTTAGGAACTGTATTTGATGACATCAACAACTCTGGCTGTGTCCCTGTCCAGCAGTGTTCCTGCACTTACAATGGAAAAGTCTATTCACCAGGGACTGGTTATTCAGCTCAGTGTCATTCTTGGTAAGTTGTATATGGCACTAAGTATAGGGCCGCATGCACACTAGTCAGCTGCATCCAAACACGAGAGAAGTTATCTGGTTATTGTAAACAATGTTATTCTTCCCAGATCACTTTTTCCAGGGCTTAGCTGTTGCTGGCTTAGTAAAACCGGATTAAACAGACCTGGGATGCAGACAGTTCTAGTTTGGGTAAACACTTCCAGACGGAATTAACCTAGATGCTGCTGAAGGTCTAGGTGTGCATTCAGTCATAGAAAAGCATTACATGGGTCCAGGAGCGTTTAGAAATGACCTCCAAACATATCTAGACTGATAATTTTTCAAGGTAGTGTGCATGAGGCCTAACTATGCGAGTATTTTGATGTTGAATATATTCCCATAGTTAGAAGTGCTAATTACTTTAGAAGTACTGTCACAGTCCAAAGCAAGCTGCCATAGATACTACTATACAGTACATCTACTTATACATGTAATAATATGTTTTGCCATTGACCAGAGCTCCACTCTTAGGAAGCTCAAGCCATTTTAAAACCTACTTCTTTGTACTCATCAGGACAACATAAAAGATAAACAGAAGCACTTTACAGTCCACATAGTAACATGTTATTTGAATACATTAAAATAAAATATACTCAGAACGGACACGGGAGACACATTTTGAAGGGTATTCTTGGTCAAAATTGAAAAATAAATATGTATTTCCATGTTGCATTGCCATACATTATATCCATCTCTTAATAACCATATCCATAACTACAAAAAAGAGATTTTTCACATAAGCTTAGATTGCATTATTAAAAACAACTCTACTATGTATTCCTATTACAAAGCTGATGTTATAACAGGAGAGCTTATGCTGGGACTTTACAATTGCTTTAAAAGATGCTGGCAGCAAAACTTGCAAACCTTGGTTAATTATATAGTCACATGTTACAGTATACATCTCATTAGTTTACTGATGGTTGAGGCATCATATGTTTATTTCGATATATTTAGTTATATTGGTATTTTGTTTTTCTTCCCATAAACACTTTTTTTATGCTTTACAAGATATATATAATGACACCCTCTATTTGCAGTAACTGTAATGGAGGAAAGTGGAGCTGTACTGAAGCAGTGTGTGCTGGATCCTGTGCAATTGAGGGGGGATCACATATTACCTCCTATGATATGACTCGTTACACCTTCCACGGAGACTGCAGCTACGTATTGTCTAAGGTAAATATAACCTTATCCCAAGGCTTTGTTGTCGGTAACACTGCTTGTGAAGGCAGCAACATTTCTTACTGACAGCGGGGAATAATCTGAGGAGTTGTATGTGTTCATTTTCTAACTCCCGTTGACAACACTTGTTGTGATACATGGCACATCCACACATATTCAGCTTTTATGAGGCCCATAGACCCCGCATTCAGTGTATGCTCATAATTGGTCTGCAGATGCATAACAAACTCATGATTATGTAAACACTGACTGTGTCTTAAAGTAAACTCTAACAATGGACTTTTTTTTTTTTAAATGGACATTTTTTTTTTAAATGGACTTTTTTTTACTTGCTCCTTTTCCTCTCTTAAATATACCAATATACCTGTTGATCTTTCCAGAAAAAACTCATAACTTCCTTACTGTCTGTGTTGACTGTTCTTACTTACAGTTTTCCCAGTCATCTATTTGGACTACAAAACAGCTCCCTCTTGTTACGGGGAAGAGGAGAGGGGGTGTTTTGTTCTAGGGTGACATCTCTGCTCCTCCACAGATACATATAGTGAGTGAGCTTTGTCACCCTATTGGCAGGATTACCAGGTAAAAATAAAGGGGAAAAAAGCCTTAATAAAAAAAATAACAGCCACTAAAGACTGGTAAGTGGAAATATATTACATGTTCTTGGATTTAGATCCACTTTAAAGTAAACCTTTCAGAAAAAGTAATTGACTGTGAGACAGTTGTTCATATAAAGCTAGCCTAAATGGTGATGACTACTCATGCACACAATGAAAGTGGCCCTGCACCCACCTTACACTTTGCAGGCTACTTGTAAAATTAAAATGTAGGAAAAATGCTTAATATTGCTGCCCTTGAAATATTAATGGTCTGTTTTTAGTAAAGGATGTGGTGCTGAAATTTACTTTTACCCCAGACACTTCCTGTGAGCACTGGAGGTTTTCTAAGCAAGGCAGTAGGAAGCTGCTCCTTTCCCCTCTCCAACAAGATCTGTTATCACCAGGCTTTGTTGTCGGTAACACTGCTTGTGAAACCAGCAACATTTCTTAATGACAGCGCAGAATAATCTGAGGGGTTAATTTACTTAAGACAAATATGCCAATCACTTTTCAAGGGAATTGGCACTTAGCTTAGTGAATGAGGAGAAGCTCTGCTGATTTTCATTATCCAATCAATTCAAATTTCACCTCATTCACTAAGCTAAAGGAAACTTCCCCTGCAAAGTGCAAATCTCCCTTGTAAAGTGAACCTCCCATTAGCAAATCAACCCCAGAATCTCACTCACCACTCTCACTTGGAGTTTATGGGCTTTCTCCCACATGCAGTTTCAGGCAGCGTTTCCCCACACACTCCCAGTGACAGTGGTGAGTGAGATTCTGATTCTTAAATACTGTCATTACAAAGCGTTGCTGACTTCACATGCAGTGTTGCAAACCTCCAACGCAGGTGGCAACAGGGCTTGTGGAAAAGGAGCAGCTTCCTTTATTAACAAAATACCTAACTATGAAATAAACCAAAGAGAGCAAAAATAAATATTCATTGAGTACATTTTATGATATAGGAAGCCTGCAAAGTGTTAGGTGGTAACAGGGTTACGTTAAGTTATTTATGGGTGATATTGTATGATGCATATGGTCTAACTTTCGCTTTTAGCAATGAAGAAAGTAGTGGTCATCCATAACCATGTGGTTTGACGCAGACTTTGCAATGTGTTCATAGCAACTAATCAGAGGTTTTCTTGCATTTTCTGTTTTGGTACCTGCTTGGTACATGATGTCATTAGGCATGGAATAAGGAGACTGGAGTGCACACTTACATGTTTAAGATAACATTACTGTGCTCTCCTTGGTATCTACCATCATTACATACCTTTTTTTAGACTCAGTGAGGTCATCACTGAGTCTCTGTGCTTTTTTATTTAATGCAAGTGGCTGGTGAAAGGGGCCAACAGGGTGCTGTACATAACTAGCTGAAGCCTCACAGCATCTTGCCTCAGTACTCTTTTCAAGCCCTGATGCAAGCTGTGGGATGGATCTTGGGCGCCGTTTTGCAAATATCATGGTCAGCGCAGAGGCTTAGTGGTTAAGTCACTGCAGTGCCTTCTAATACTGGGGTCCTCAGTTTGGGTCCCAGTCCTGAAACCATCATTATGACGTTTATGAAACATGTTCTCCTTGTGCTTGTGTGGGTTTTCTCCCATGCTCCAAAGACATGCTGATAGATTAGCTGGCTCCTCTATAAAATTGGTCTTAGTATAATATTATACTTTTTGTACCCAAGATGGTTGCCACACCATCTGCCCTAGCAGCAGATAAATTGTTCAGAGTCCCCAGGAAGAAAACGCTATAGAAATAGGAATAAATTAATTTAGAATAAAGATACTTTATTGGTGGATGTCAGTCTTGAAGAGTGGGTATCCATTGGCAGGCTGCATTTGCATGCGGAATGCCCTGGGCAATGCCCACATGCCATACTGAGTCTCCATAATTGAAAGAACTGAAATTTAGATCTAGTAAATGAAAGGGGTGGCCTAGGGACAGCTGGGGAGTAAAGGAATTTGAAGAATGATGCTGGCCACCCTTTGAAGCAGGCTCTATCTGACTTGCTTCATCTTCTAATGCACATTGTGATAAGCTCAGAGCAGGAGATGAGACTGTGCAAGGCTGGAATTCATCTTTATGTTTGTAATATACCAATTCTATGTAATCTTCAATCATTCAGTTATTTCACTCTTATATTTTACTTGTTGTCTTCAAGACATGCTACAACAGCACCTTTAGTGTATTGGGAGAGCTCCGTAAATGCGGTCTGACGGACACTGAAACTTGTCTGAAGAGTGTGAGCCTCAGTTTGAATGATGGGAAAGATGTAAGTTTCAAAAGCTTTGTGATAAACAA